GGCAAGGGAAATCAGGGCTTAAGAGCGGGGGGGTTTTGTGTGGGGGGGGGGGGAGGGGGGTGGTAAAGGACCGATCACTTTAGCTACAGATAGCTGACAGTGCATTAGTCAGGTAATGCGCATAAATACTAACAAGTAAATACTTGGCTATTTAAAAAGCTCAGAATTGTCAGTTTTGGATATTTACAATATTTCTTAAGTTTAATACTCTTTTAGAAAGAGGTTATTTTTCTAGGACACATTTAATTGGAAGTGACTGATCTTTGAGATTAATTTTGGTTTCTTATCTGGTAAAATGTTCATTAAAGTTTATCCCACAACATAGTTCTAGAGAACAAACTAGGAGAAAAATAAAATAAGATCTAACAAGGTTCCTGCTGCTGCTTGTTTATTTTCTCTTATGTTACAGCCACCATTGTTTCATTGCAGAAAAACCTCCCTTGCCTAAAATTTACATTTCAGCCATGTTACATTACTGTGCTCAGTGATGCTAAGAACTCCACATTTCTTTAGCCTGACTAGAAAAGTTATTTTAACCAGTATTGCTTTTGTCTGCAACAAAGTCTAAAGACTTTGTCCAGTCAACTGATTTTGTGTTATCTATGGTAATTGAGGGGAAGTCATTGAATAACATTCCTTACATGCTGTTTCCTTTCAATTCTTCTACTTTCTCCTGAGTTATGTAACCTAGAACAAATATAGGTATTTAATATGGGGGCAGTCAAATCCTTGCCTGTGTGTGTATCTGTCTTCTCATTGTCATCATCTTAATTTGATATTCATATCCATAGTTAGAGTCTCCAGTCAATTTTGTGTAGAAATCCAGACAGTGTGCAAACATGAGGTGATCTAATGTACCCCTCATATGGGTACTGTATGGTACTACATGTGTGTGTTTGTGTCCACACACACACACACACACTATATTGCAATACTGCAGAGACTAAACCTAGTGTCACTGTCCACAAGATACTGCTATATACTCCTGTCTTTTATTTAATTGGGTTTTATTTTCCTTTGATTTCAGGAGACATATAGCTGAGCTATCCTGGCATGACTGTTAATAATACAAGGCTTGTGCAAAAGGAAAGGGCTTTGTAGTGTGACCTGACAATGTCAGGAGTAGAGCTCATTCTAATCTCCAGTGCCTTAAAGAGTTTCACAGATGAAGGCTTTATTTTTTATTTCAAGGATACCTTTTCTCCATCTCCCAAAAGTCTCACTGTTGGTTCTGGCAGCAGCAAAATCCATCCTGAGTCCAGCTGTAGGCTGAGGAGAGACAATCACTTAGGCAAACAGTAGGCCCTGAATTGCTTCAGAAGTTAGGACCAGGACCAGGACCAGGACCAGGACCAGGACCATGACCATGAAATGAAGGGAGAGCCAGCAGACAACATGCTCAGCCAAACTCTGTGTCAGCCGCACAGTACATGCCACTGTGTACTGGATATTTCTGTTATTCCAAAAAATGAGTAAACATATTCACTGGTCTCCATCTTTGCTTAATAAAATCTATGAGCCTCTGTGTCATGTGCTTCTCCTCAATTGCTTATCAACATTCTCCTACCAGACATGATCACCAGTCTAACACATGCCTTGCAGCCATATCCTTCACGTTGTGTACAGTGCATTATTATTTCAGATGATGAAATTGAAATAAGGCATAATGCCATCTCTGTGTATGACAAAACCCAGAATTATTGTTCATCATGAAGTAAAAGGAGCCTAAAACTGAGAGGTCTTGAGTATCTGCAGCTCCCACTGGATTCTGGTGATTTCTGTGAGCATTATGACTGCTTAGCAGTTGCTCTCAGATTTTAGGTTGAGATGTTGATAATCACATAATCATATACATACAAGCATCCTGATTCTGATCTCACTTATTTCATCAGTGTAAATCTTAAACACAGCTTTTATCACCCTAGGTTTAGGCACACAGCCAGAGGGAAACTAGGACTTAAAAACACCGCAGCACACAGACAGCAGCTGCCACTCTCAGCCAGCCCACACAACCCTTTCACATGGAAAATGCACAACTTGCTCAGTCAAAGCCAGATAGCCTTTTCCTCAGATTGTCTCACACTGATGCCATTCAGCTTCACACACATGGTTATCACATTCTGCAATTGCTTCAAGGGCATTTCACACACTGCCTCATTGCTATCTGCCCTGGTAAGATTTTGTACTTTTTTGTTAAAACTGTTCACCTTCAAAAACTGAAGTAAAGGGCTCATCCATATTGTAAGTTGAGTAAAAATATCTATCACTCTCAGCACCTCGTGAAGTAGATGTATTCAGATCAAAATCCCCATATTTTGCCCTGTTGACAAGTTTGATCTGATAGTCTTCCCATGGAGATTATTTACTATTTCAAGCAAGTTTTCTGCACATGGGGACTTCAGCGTTAGACGGTTACGATTAATAACAAGTCTAGTCGTGTAACTCTGCCCTCACTTTCCCTCCTAAACAATTTTCCTGCTATAAAAGGAATAATGAAGCACCTTCATGAATTTGGGTCTAGTAGCTCTCAAGTTGAGAGCCAGGAAGTATGTTGGCCTTGTAAACAAATTTTGTAATATAAAATGACTTTAGCCATAGGCAGTCATCATGCAAGACTGGTTTAGGATGTAATGAAGCCAAGCCATTGGCCTGCAAACTCAGGTGTGTAAGGATTAAAGTCAATTCATAATTTCATTTTTCTGTCACCAATAAAAGTCAATATGGTTTCCCAGGTCAAGGAGTTGCACAGCATCATAAATAGAAATTTTTCCTTTCACTTTGGAGTCTACAGCCAAATACTGCTTAACTCCCCAATCCTTTTTACACATTACCACACACCCCTCAGTTTCTTTAATAGGGTTCTCCATTCTTTACTTCAGTGTCCCTCACATAATATCTCTTTACAGTGGTCAGTGTATATCCGTGCTGCTGTCCGCAAAGAGAAAGGCCTGCCGATCCTGGTGGAACTGCTTCGAATAGACAACGACCGGGTGGTATGTGCAGTTGCTACAGCTTTACGAAACATGGCCTTAGATGTCAGAAATAAGGAGCTAATAGGTATGTTGTTTCCAAACAATCTATACATTTACCTGTTGCTTTGGTTTTGGGGTTTTTTTACCTTTTATAGTAGGATGAAGAAAAAAAGAACAATGCTTCTTTCTGTTTTTCAAGCAAAATTTCTTGACCCCTTTCTTTTAATGCAGCTCATTCAGGTGTTATTATGTGACAGTTCAGTCTGAGAGCTGTATTGTGAGGCATATTTTTAATTTAATTAATATAAAAGCATACCATTACCAGAAAAAAAGTACCCAGGATTTAGTCACACTGTAGCTTTTTAATTATTTTTTAAAGACTGACAGTAGTGGCAATACTGCTTCAGCACCTGGCACAGTGCCTGAAAGAGTAATACAAAAGTAATATTAAATGATCTTTATCCCAGTTCTAGGTACATTTCTTAATTAATTATGTTGTAGCCCTTCCAGCTAACTAAAAGTCACCCTAACATGGTAGATTTAGGCCATGGAGAATATTATTACAGTATGTTCATATCCTTGCTTTGCAAAACAGAATAGTTATTACAGTAAACCATGCATCACAATTCTTCTAATTTCCATGTAGCTTAAAAGTTGTTATTATTTTCAATGATATATTACTTCTTTATTACAGTTGCCCAAATTTTGGAGGGCAGGCAGTTTTTCCCAACTCTTCTTCTAGTGTTGACTAAAGAATTTTACCAATATATGCTTTGTTCTGCCTCCTTTTTTATTATTTGTATTCAAATGCTATCTAGATGTCCTAGCAAATTCTTTACCGCATTATGCTAGGCACTGTAAAAGCATAGGCTGTAAGACAGAGGAGTTAAGCAAGGGGCAGCCTCCTTTTTCACTGTAGTTTGTACCATGCCATTAATTAGCCCATTTCCTTTGTTGTCTTTACACTGCTTGGATTTTTTAATTGAAATTGAAATTTTTATTTCTTTCCCAAATCTTCAAGTTCCACATAAAATAATAAAGATGCACATGTTCAAATAGTGCTCTTTTAATAAGATGTTCCAAGTGCAACTGTGTTTGTAAAATATGGGTAATAACACACTGATCACATCATCTTCAAATGTTAATGTTCTAGGATTCCTGGGGGAAAGTTTGATATCAACAAATGTGGTTCAGTTTAAGGGGGAAAAAAGTCAGTCAATAGTTATTACCTAAAAAAAAGATTTTACTCATTCAGCAAGGAATAGATGCTTAGTGTTCAGATAGTTACAAAGCGATTCTAAGAAACTGCAATTAGTGAGCTGAACTATATATTTCCCAGAGGATTTAGAAGGCATATTACAGCACTGAAAAAACTTAATTTTGCCACTGTGACAGGAAATGCCCATAGTGCTGTTGGCTGTGATGTGTACATCTTACTTATTTGTTCATTGTTTTTTCTTTGGTACCATCACCACAGGATCTGAAAGTGTCACAAGTGTTAATGCTGCTATTCTTCTACCTCTCTTATGTAGCTAGAGATAGGTGTCATTCTCCATTGTACAAAAGGGGAGATGATTATGATTCATATTTGCAATAACGGTCGCTACTTTTTCTCCCTCTGTTTTTGGATGCTCAACATGACACATCTTAAATCTGATTTTGTGTTGAGTACTGCAGTTCCTGTTCACTTCTGCTCAGGCTGTAGATTGTCTATCAAGTCCAGATATTTGTCACTTCAGAGGAAAATTAAAATAAATAAATGCACATTGCTTTATATGGAGAGAGAAAAGCCTTTGTTTTTCAGTATTGTCCCTAAAGTTTTAGGCAGCGTCCAAAAGTGAAATAAGGCAGATAAATAGGCAAATTTAAATGATGTATCTCTTTATATATAAATATTTTAAAGCCTATCTCTTTATTTTAGCTATGTTTTGTTGCCTGCATCAAACTACACCTTTATAATAAAATGTCATCATGGTAAAAAGCAAAAGGCCTCAAAGATTCAAGACAGAGTGTGAGTCTGCAAACATTTACCATGAAAAAGTACCTGAGAAGCAGCTAACCATATAAGTAAAAGGTTGAAAGGTTAAGAGTTTACCTGTAGCAAACTGTTGATTTATTATTTGTTTCATTATTCTAGCCTCCTATACATTCCATTTATAGGAAAAGACTTTTAAATTATAGCGTCAAATAGAGGTGTGTGCTGTGAACAGCTCCTTTGGGCAAACTGGCTTTGTATATGCTTGAAATTCTACCTAATGTGCATGTAAGAAAGCACTTATTGCATTTTCTTAGTTATTGTCTTTGGTAATTATTTCCTGGATAGCTTTATCATTCAACACTCCTTATCAGCACTTATTTGTAAGTAAGGTTGCAGCAACTTTCCATACTATCTTATGTTAAAACTTTCTCACCTATGTTTCATAAACAATAAGTGAGGTAATAGGCAGGCAGGCAGGCAGAGTGGTAGGAAAGATATCTTTATTAAACCTGCTGAGAAGCCTGCATCACATACTTATGCTTCAGAGCTTGTTGAACTTCATCAACTTTCTTCAGTTCCGTTGGTCCTAGTACAACTTCCAAGTTGAGATTTTCCCCTTTTTCTTAATGTGTAGGGACAAACAGCTCCATTGACAGCACTGTCAAATTTTGGGGGGGGATGGGCAGTTCATAATAAGTATGTATTTCTAAAATTTCAGGGACAGAAAATTGCCTTCCAGCCCAGTCACAGAACTCATCTACCTCCCCTTTTGGAAAGGCTGCCAAAGCTCTTTTGGACTTCAATGACTTGCTGATGGACCAAACAATAACAGAGAGCAATAAAACACTACAGTCTGAGAATTATTTGCATATGCTCTCCTCTCCATGGTCTATCACTGTTTTGTTGTGATGTTTTTTTTGCGGGGGGGTTGGGAGGGGGAAGGGTTGTTTGTTTTTTTTCTTTAATTGTGCCTTTCACATTGAATCCAAGTTGGACAGGGACCTTCCCCCCGGACATATGTCAGTTTGCCTCAGATCTAATGTCTGGTGCTTTATAGGCACAAGATATTACTTCCTGACTCAACAATATGATGGCCATACCAGATGAGGCTAGGAGGATAAGGATACACATACTTTCTTTAATAGAAATGGAAATTTAGAGACTTGTAGGCATAAATAACATGCATTTTCTCTCTTTCTCCAGAAGTATTTTATACGGTATAGTTGTAAGACAAACTCTGAACTCAGAACTTAACAACTTGTCTCTTGATATTAAGCCCAGGATTATTGTCTGTCGTATGATAAAAGGAGGAACTTATTGTGCACATGTTAAATCTACCCTTTCAGCATGTATAGGCTTTGTTACACATTGTACTTTGAGCTGCTCAAATGTTGATCAGTGTTAGTGCTAGTTCAAGTTTGGAGCAGTTGCATCCAAGTGCTGAAACCTTCCCTGACTTTCCCTCACCTACACAACTTAGAGAGCCAGACTAAGAGCTATAGCTGTGGGTTGCCACTATGGTTAGGGACAGAAATTACACATAAATATGTGTAAGTGAATGTAAACTGGTTCAAGTCTGTAACACAGCAGAAGTTCAGTGGTACTTAAACAGGTTTCAAAATGGCCAAAACCAGTTAAAGATAAACATGGATTAATGTAGTATCAAACGTAACTGATTTAGGTTAAACTGGTCTATCACACTTCTGTCCCAGATCCCCTCTCTACTCAAGTTAACTCACAATCAACTCACAGTCCCCCAGCATCCCAGGATACTTTGCACTTCTCCTGCAAACTGCCTCCCTTCCCAGGGTGTGTGCGCTAGCCTTTGCCCAAGCTATCTGCTCCAGTCAAGCAGGGTTGGCCGCACTTCCAGCAAAGCCTCTGGTCCGTAGCCTGCATCCTGCCTGTACTGTCAGCCTAGCAGGGGCTGCAGGGTAGGTGCAGGAACAGAGCCCCCACAACCAGTCCTTGTCCTCCAGTTATCTGTGAGAGTTGCCCCTTCCTGCAGCTGGGCTAGTGAGAGCCACTGAGGTGCTGGGGGGAAGCACTCCCCTGTCCTGGGGCTACCACCCTGGGTTGGGGTCTGCCCACACGGGGGGAGCCCCATGCATGGGGGGGTTCCCCCACCCCAGACCTGGTCCTCCCTGCTGCTCATGTGGGTCTGACCAGCTTCAGGGCCACCGGGCTGGCTGCTGATCAATGTCCCCTGCCAGTCTCTGACCAACAAGGGGAGGAGGAAGAAGCCCCAATCCCAGTGCTGAGCTGGGATCTGCCTCCCTCTCCTGCTGGCCTGGATCAGGTCCACTGCTTCCTCCCACCCTCCCCATCACCCCCGATCCCCACTGACTTTCCCTCCACCCCCGATACATGTGGCTGCCCACACTGTCTGTCTCAGAGAGCAAAGAGGGTTAAACTGCCAGGGTCTGCTCAGGCCAGCTGGGCAGGTGGTTTAACCCTTTCTTCCCTGTCTGCCCCCTGGGACAGAGCCCTGGGAAGTCACAGGTAATCAGGGAGCGTTCAGTAGGGTGGTAAGTAAGCTTGGATCTGGGGTGCTGGGAGCAGGGCTCAATCCGAGGCAGCAGGGGAGGGGGGCAGACACTAGTTTGGCACCTGGACCAGTGCTACTTCCCCTCCCTGCAGGGGTGGGAAAGCAGGGGTTTGGGAACATATGCTCCACCAGCCTCAGCCTGGCCTGCAGGCTGGGAGGTAGTTCCAGCACAACTCTGCCTTCTGGCCTGAGTTAATGAAGGCTTCTTCCTGCTTTTCCAAACTGAAAACTGGATGGAAGTTCAGTTCCTTATCGATTCGATCTGCACAGCTTTGAGAAACCCACAAAGATTGAATTGCTTCTGCCTCCAGCTGTTTGACTGTCTGTACTATGACTACAGGGCTAGTAAGCCAGGACAGGCTTCTATCCCTACTGTAGGTGACGGTGTGTGAGAGATAGGTTTGGGTTAGGGATGTAAATATCATTAAAAAAACTGTTTAATCTCCTCTAATCATATCAGTTAAACAGTTAACAGATAGCACAATAGCTTGGTCACAGCAGCTGCTGGAAAATGCTCCCCCAGCCCTTGGGAGGGTTGGGAGAGGGGAAGGAGACAGTA